AATATATACTAATTTTTAAAGTATCAAATTGAATTTTTGTTCAATAAAAATTTTTCAAATGCAACTGTAGCTTTTAACCCAAAAAAACTTTGTCTTCAAAGTAATGGTGCGTCTTATATTCCGAAAAATACAGTAGTAATCACAGAAAATGGAATGTTGAGGAGATACTGTTATCTTTACATAGTTGAACATGGTAATAGAACCAGTTCCTAACAATTGTTATGAGTCTGAAAGTATCCCCAACAGTTTTTTTTTGTGTTTAGTAAAAACAATAACTTAATATAATTGTTAATGTGATTTTCACACACTACAAGCATACAAATATTTAACCAAGAACACAATAAAATGTGTGGTAAGTACTATAGTTAGTTACTTTGGCCACCCCTCCAACATACAACAGATGTTTTTAACTGCAGAACTTCTACCACATACAAAAAAATAAAACAAGAAAAGAATATTTCAAAGCTAAGACAATGTTTATTTTTGTTAGAAACTCACCTCCTAAAGTAACATTTCCATGTAGAAAACGGCCTTGATATATCAGGCGTAAAATTTCTGCTTTAGAAACACCTTCTTCAGCCCACTCTGATTAAGGAAAAGCAAAACTAATTTTAAATAATATTGAGTGAACGGAGAATTTATATACAAGCTTTTCAAGGCTAAACTACTATAAACAGCATTGAGGTTTCTCTTCTACACATTTATGTACTCAATTCAGAAACTTTCAGTTAGAATTTCAACAGAAATATTCATGTCAGTCAGTCAATAAAGAATATTCAAATTCTTAAGCAAATGAAATAACATATCAATAGCTTGAAAACTGTTACAACACCAATGAACATAAGGCAACAAAACTTAATATAATGTTTTTAAGAAAGTCTATACTATTGCCCTCTGTTGAAAATTTAGAGATAAACAAAATAATAATAAAGTCGTGGATGAGAAACTGAAAGTCAGAAACTTTTAACTGAAATTCAAGTGTGATCCACCCCATGAGACTGAAAGGATGATGAAGAAAGCTCCTCTCACACAAAGCTAGAATCCCACATTGCAAAGATGCAGGGGCCAGTTTAGCATATAAATATCAAACCAAGCAGAAAGCAACCACTTAGAATGAACAGGTGTGCTATGAGATGAAGCACAACCAGTAGTATACCACACTACTTCTGGAACAGGTCTGCTCCTCATCCAGGAAACTAACACAAAATGGGGAGAATGGAAAAACAGACATAATGAATGTGGTAATAATACTTACAACACTGGACAAGTGATGGTAGTTCTTGATGTTCCAAAGAACATACATTACTTTTGTCACAGGAGTAGTGTGCTGGCAGCAAAAAAATGTTTTTTAGCAATGTTAGAGGGCAAACAAGGATCAACATAGCTTTGTATAAAATAAGGTTAGACCATTTTGGAATCACCTTTCTGTTCCCAGATGTATACATAGCATTGAGAATTCTTCTGACATAGTCAATAACAGTTACTAGGGAAGAATAAAGCTGTGAATTTTAAGTTAAAAAAATGTTTCTTTTTTGTATTTGTTGTACAAATATTACGTAAAGCATTCTAAATGTTTGATTTTTAATGGAAATTTCAATTCACTTCCTTATTGATATTTTGTCTAAGGTAACAAAATTCTTCTCTGCCAAGGTCAGCAAAAACCCTAAGGCTGGCACTGGCTGTACCATTTTTTCTATCACACTTTGTAATGAATGCTTTTGACTTAGACATTCCATAATACATAGTTATTTCTACACATTTGTTACTTTAAGAATAATACTTAAAACCTTCTCACTAATATAATCTTATGACTATTAGTCAAACTATCATTACTAACATTGTAAACTAAATATATGTAAATAAATTTCATATTTATTTCCTTTAAAGATAAAAAATACGTATAACTTCCAAATGTGAAATCACCAAAAAAAGTGGCCACTTCCTGTTTAACAACACAATTTCCTGTTTAACAACACATCTTTCCATCCAAATCACTCTAAAAAAGCAAATTTTCTAGTAAAAAATAATCTTGGGCTACTTCCAAAAACCAGCCAATAACTACAAACAGTCAACAATTATGTTAGACTACTTTCAACAACCAGTCAACAGTTACAGTTTTGAGAACATTAGTTCTGTGTTCCATTCATCACAAAATTAGTAATGTCATATTTCTAAGAGAACCTTACTACCATGTAATTACATCATTTCTAATGTCCATTAGTATAATTAGTAATATCATTGGCAGGGTATGATTTTATACAAAAATATATATATAACGGACCAACAGAACTTATATAATTATTATACTCACATGAGCAAAAGGCCAAATATAAGACATCTGACTTGTAAATAACCCAAAATCAATTCTTTATGTTATTTTCTTACAACTTGCCACAGTTTATAATGTTTGTCTAAACTATAACTGAGCTTTTTTTCACTTAGAACAACACCATCTAATATATTTTATTTGGTAACTGACACTTATGATGAAAATTGTTTTAAATATTTATTAGTCATTCCACTAAAATCATAAAATCAGTTTAATGCTTAATCGTTTTAAGTTATCCATATAAAATTTACCAAAAATGAATAATATATGTAACTTAGATTATATGAGGTAAGAATTGCTCTTATATTCTGGGATGTATTGGGAATCCATTTAAAAAGTTCAATAAATTTATGTCTAAAACTATGCATACGACAATAATAAAGTACATCTTTCTAGATAGAACCATAACAAAAGTCTAAATTATAAAACACTACCTTTATAATAATGTTCTTTTTGTAAAAATATCAGTTACTGTTTATTTTAAGATTTCACAACAAACAAGCAAGTTCATTTCCTGCCATTTCGCCAACTGATAACTCATTAAATCAATACTTATTGATTTACAATACCTTGAGGCCAATTATCAAATACATATTGGGCAATGTCTGCTGCTGAATCATTTGGACTAAAGATAAATTCCTTTGTCTTTCCAGTTACTAAGATAAGTCTCAAATTGATCTATGAAAAAAACACAATTGTTATATTCACAGTGACAAAATATACAAATAACAAGTAGAATTCTATATATATTTTATCCTGTAGTTTGAAACATTATGTAAAGTTAGAGAAATGAACTCTACATACATTTCCAAAACTTAACAAAAAAAGCACTTTATACATACATTCTTATAATCTATAATGTAAATACAATATAGAAATACAGACACACAGCTTCAAATCTAGTAATATAAGAAATACTTATCAAACTTTCCCTTAAACTCCCATAAATTAACTGTATCCACCAAAAGCAACCTGTTCCAGAGACCAACGATATACAAAAATAAAGTTATCTAAGCTGAATATGACTTCTCTGCCAAACTTTATGTTTGTGTCTTTCCGTTATCACCATTAAAAATGGAAAAAGATGATGCATCAAAAAGTACAGAAACACACATCCTCACACTATGGGATGAATCTAGGAATTACATCACAGACTCAAATCTTGTGACAAAATGTATGTGATGGCATGTGGAAATACATCACATATCCTCAAATTTGTGATAAAACATGCAGATACACATCATTATGCTGATGTAAAATATATACAAATACCCACAAACTCGCATCTCATAATGCAAGATTTCTAAATTGTATGAATAAACATGCATCTTTACATTATGATAAAATTAACTAGATGCCCCATCAGAATCTGTAATATCAAAAAGTATACTTATATGTTTCTACACTAATAACATCACACTCATACACCATAAATTCACATGCAAATTTTCAGTAAAAATATCTTGTAAATACACTTACTATATTAAAAGATATAGTATTCATGACTTCCTGCTGGTTGCAAAGTCAGTCACAATGACTGAACCATATACAAAGTTAATGACTCGTGACTCTTTATAACACAAATCAATGATTCATGATTCTTTACAGTGCTTAAAACAATACTTAATGGTGTTTGATCACATTTCAAAGACCACCAGACTTCAAGAGCACATCATCAGAATTTATTAACTTATACTAACTTTATTAACTTACACTATTTCTCATTTATTAATCTACTTTTTGATCATTAAAAGACTCGGAAACTTTCATTAATGGGCTGCTCTTGATGTGGCAACCACAGAAAACATGATATGCAACCCTCAAAATGTTAAAATAAGGGTTCCCTTGGACACTCAAACTCTAAATCCAAGAGAAAGCTTTTCATATCATTAATATACATCTTAGTTTATCAGAAAGGGCATAATTACTTGTAAAGCTTAGGTTAGACATAGTTGTTCCATCAACTAACTGAAACTTCAGCCAAAATAAGGATATACCTTCCTAGAAAGTTCATAATTACTTGTACAGCTTAGGTTAGACATAGTTATTAAATCATCTATATGAAACTTCATTCAAAATAAGGACGTACCTTTTTCATGCTGCTCATATCTGTCTAATCTAATAGCTTAAAACTATAACATGGTTAAAAAGATGTGGAATAAAGTCAACTTACTGATCTTTAAAAAATCTTCATAAATCCAAAAATATTTCTCAATTATTTAGATAAAATTTCAATTATGCAGTCTTATCCCACAAAAGTATACACTTATCACATGCCAGTTTTTGAATTTATCAAATGGCATGGACTACACCCAGGAAAAGTTCTGACTCACTCTAAGCCTTACCTTATCAGTTGGAAACCTTGATCCCATTTTCTCTTTTCTTTTTTCAACAGAGAATAAACTGCAAAAAAAATTAGATATATATATATATATAAATGAATATACTATACACTATATTTTCTAAAGTATACATTATCATACCAATACTTCTTTCTGGAGAATCATTCTCACCAATACTAAAACAAGCAATGAATGCAGTTAAAATGTGACAAAATAACATTTAAGGACAGCAAGGTTTGCATATTAAGGATCCTATTCACTAACAAAAAATCATTTAAATATTTATCAAGCCTTCCCTTACATTTATTGTAAGCCACATCTGAAGGAAACCAATTTCAAGGGTCATTCACCCTATTTGAAATGTAAAACTGTCTAAGCTGAAGATGACTCTTGCCCTGTCAAAATTTTATGCTTGTGTCATCTTAACCTAACATTTTCATTAGCACATATCGTATGAGCCAAGAAGGGGTGGGGTCTTTGTTGTTGATCAAGAAATGCTAACCCATAATGGCTTTTTTGTTTTTGCTATAACTTTGTGATAATTCTCACTGGCTGAAATGCAGCTGTTTGGCACTACTTTTATTAAATTATTGATTCTGTTGACAGCCAAGTCAAGAAAAATGTGGTAGGGAACTCTCATGGAACATTTAAGATGCAAATACAAGCATCTGCATTGTGGAATATGTTTCAAATGCAGCCACTGTGGTTGTTCATGTGACAGATTATCCCCTGCAGTAAAAAATATCTCAAAACTTTGGTGGGAAGCAGCAAATGAAATGGAAATGAGAAGAAATTGAATTCCAGCTATTTTGTGGAGGAATTTACTCTTGGTTGGGCATTATGTCCACCACATGGTAAACATTTATGTCCAAAAGTATATAGATCGATTGAGAATAAGCAGAATAAAATGGGACCCATAAGAACTGTGATTTACATATCCTAACCGATTTGATATCCTTTCCAACATGGAGATTCATCAATGTATCACAGCCCTGACATGGTACCCTTAACATCACTTCTTCCATTGGAATACAACAACCTTACAGTTACATACTGAGTTCATTATGTCTGAACAAACACCAGCATTACACCTAAAAATGCAGTCTGCAAGCTTAAGGTGCAGCATAAAGACAATGTTCACAAGGACGATTTCCCACGTGATGATCAACTGAAGTCATTAGCTTCTCAAATGTAGTCATAGGAAATGAAGGAGTCAAATAGCTACCATCCCATAGTAATTGTATTACCATGCCTATGTGTCTTACTATGTAAATCTACTTGGAAACAAAGTGCCACAACAGTAGAGATATTTATTCAATTATTGTAAAGAAAAG